CAGAAGCCCCTGCTGGGGGGGCTGGGGTGGGTGGGCCCTGCTGTTGTGGGAGCCCACCAGGCTTCCCCTGGGTCCTACTGCCCTTGATTCTTGTCATTTTTTACAGGAACCAAGGGCAGATAAATGCTAATTTTCTAAATTTTTTTTAGGGGCCCCGTGGGCCGGATAGAATGGCCTCGTGGGCCAAATGCGGCCCACTGGCTGTATTTTGCCCACCCCTACTATGCGGGGGGGACAGACAGACGACCTTTTGGATGGAAAGAAAAAGTAGGCTGCAAACATGCATATAAAAGGGAACTGCCTAAAACATGGAAGAATACGTTTTCAAGCCTGTATGTCCCATTACCGTAGTGCCTGGTGTCTCAAAGTATAAAATGCAGTCTTCAGTAGAAGTAAGTGTGAAAGGGAGGCACTTGGAGCTTTGATTTAAAAGGTTCGTAGAGCCTTGGTGGGAAACTGGCTTGTGCTGTCACCCAGTAGAGAGATTAGTCTGTACCGCAGGTAACCATGTTTTTATCACTCTCTTTGGCAAGTAGGGAAGAACCTGACAAGGTCACTGTGGCTCTGCCCTTATGCTGAGAAGGGTTGGCTGAGTGCCATGGCGTCCTGCAGTAACGGCCTGCAGTCAGCTGCAGGGCAATGCAGAAGGAAATTGAATTAAACAAGGCACGTGCTGTGGAAAAATGCCTGCTCTGCCTCTGCACTAAGGATTCTGACTAGACTAGTGTACACTGTCCACCCGGAACTAACCTGCACCTTTGAGAGAGGCTCTATGAAAACCCAGGGAAGCCTGTAATCCATATCTGGCATTTCTTCTGGGATTTGAACATTGTTTTCCTGTCGGCTTTTTTTTTTTTCCTGGAGGCTGATCACTACCACTTGGTTTAGCAATATCTTACTGCTCTGGCAAGAGCCATGTCCTGCCTTAGGCTGTGGAAACTAATAACCGAATGGTAGAATGCCACAACGCCCCTTTGGGAGTAAGCAGGCATCGAGTTCCAGGTGAAGCTGGGGGGACATGGTATCCCTGGAGTTGATCTCTCCAGTCTCCATTCAGACTTTGGGTTTGGACTGAGCAATATGGAGAAAATTAACTCTTAAATATGCCCTTAAAGTACGTCAGTGAAGCGGTGGCTAGAGGCCCTGATCAGCCTTGGGGTTTTGCAAAGCAGCCAGCAGAAGCACAAAGGAAGTCAGAGAGCTGTCCATCCTAAAAGGCTGACTAATGTCTTTCTTCCCCAGTACTGCCTGCCCTCCTCCTCTCCAACAACAGCTATTGAATGATCCTTATCAAATTAACATTTGACAGTAAATTACCATTAACCTTCTAACGACTGCAGCTTTGCAAGACATAAGCCAAAGAATTCTAGTCTTGTGGAACAGGTAAGGGAATGCAATCATGACCAGCCAAACGAGCTGTCAAGAGAAATGGCCTTTCTTCCTTTTGCCCCCCAGCTTGTTCTGTGACAATGTTGCATGGCGGAGCAGCCACAGTACATCTCATGTCTTCTGTACAGCAGGACTGGAGATTTCTTTGCCTGTGGGCACATATTTGCTTCTTCCAAAATATTCTAGCCAACAAGAGGGATTTCAGAAGTGTCTTAATGCTTTAGGCTGGAAAGGCTACAGCAAATTCTTTCCAACTACTTTAGTTGGTCTAATAAAAGATACCGGATTTACGCAAATAATCTTGTCTGCTTAATGCTTTAGGAGCGCAAGCTTTATATTAGTGATTATCAAGGTCCTGTGGCACCCTTGTTTGACTTGAGATCCTTACAAGTGCGTGCCAGGGTGCCACTTGTTCTTAGCGTTAAGTGTGCAAACCTGATTCACAAGGAGGAGGAAAGTTATTTTGAATAGGAACCCAGAGTGTCAAAAGTATTCAGACCTGTTGTGGTCTTTCTGAGTTTTTTGCAAAAGAATTTCTTTACGGTTTTGTGTTGGGTTTGTAGTTAAAAAATGAAAGAGCTGGTATTTTCCAAGGAGTGCCTTGACCATAAAAAGGTTGAGAACTACTGTCCTATGCAAATTCCTTGGCCACTTCAGAAATGCATTAAAATTTGCTGTGCTGACTTCAAGTAAATATTGGGTGACTGTTCCCAAAAGTAAGCTGGATTTGCCTTCAGGGCTCCATCAAACACACTCTCAAGAGAGTCTATTCAAGGAGGGAACAGAAGCAGTACTATGCAATCTGTTTCTAATCAAAACAGCCCAAAGTGAGCTGGTGAATACAGCTGCTTTTGAATAGTTTACTCACCAAAAATTACCCTCCTTGTTTTGTGGACAAAATCAAATTGCAATCAAAGCAAAGCAAACTCCTTTCAGAGTATTCATGAGCCCAAAGAAGCTAAATTGATCAAATTTCTTTGCTCCTCTTGATTCTAATTTTTTAAACATGGATAACTGTCACTTCTCCTTTATAAGCTAATTGGAACAACAAACAGTATGCTGGCAATCTGTATTCTGTGCATAACATGTCAGGGGAATGCTGGTGGAGCAACAATAGGTGAACTTAAAGCTTGTGAAAATAACTATGATGATGTGTTTGCAACCCTTAAAGTCTAGACTATGTAGTATTTATAAAGTCTTGTTCTAATGCTGACAAATTAAGCATCTCACAAATGGCTCTTTATGTTTAGCTTCTTATTAGCTGTATGATTTGTAACTACAGTAGATAGAAGATGGAGACAGAGCTTTAGAACAAAGCAATAACCCTCCTGTTTTCTGTAAGTCTTTGTGTTGTCCTTATACAGCTATGAGTCTGGCAATGACATTGTAGACCCGTTCATCAGGCCTGTGCTCCCTTAAGTAATACCCAACACTGCTGACCTAGCCAGTTTCCAAGTGGATCTTAATCTAGGTACATTATTTACTCCTTGAGTGGGATTAGTTCGTGAAATCTTGGACATTAAGAGCTGGAAACATCTCCAAATCGACTACAAATTGCGCTCAGTTCTCACCTGGAAGTTAGTGGTTTGCTCCAACACACAAGGATAAGTAGGAACTGTCTGCCTGGAAAATACCTTTTGTTCAGTGTTAGGAGTTCTCATCTTATTCCTTGTGCAATGTTTTCTTCTGGCAGTTGCTGTGACATTTGAGACATTGGAAGGTATTTTAACTTTTGGCTATTTTTGTGGGGTTTTTTGTTTTCTCCTAAATCTTCTGGGTCTGCACTCTGCGGTGTGTGAGTGTGGGAGGGATATGTTCCCTTCAGAGCTTCATCAAAGAATTTCATTCTGGACTTAAATGAATTGCTGCTGCTTTCGGCAAAGGGGGAAATTCTAAATATTTGTCTCACTTGACCCGATGTTCCCTCTGACTGATTGTTTCCAAAGTTGAACTGAACTTTCTCCAGAGGGGAAAATTTTTGTATGTCTGTATATAGCATAAGTTGTCCCTATAAATACCTTTTATACCCTCTATCTAAACCTTTTTCAAGCTGACAACATAAGCAGCAGAACTGGCTGAAAACTGGATGGAAAAACAAAGAGCATCCAATCAAATGTATAGACTTTTTCTGCCTTCTGGAGTAGTCTAGCTTTGTCATTTTCCAAGGTAGCTTTGCAAAAGTTTAGTTTAAAAAATAATGATTTTTTTAATATTTGGGGAAAAGTTCCTACCAAGTAACAGCTGAGTTATGGCATTACCAGTGTCACTAAGGGACTTTAAAATCAGCTGCATGTGCACAAAGCAAACAGCCAACTATATAGTTTTGCTTTAAAATTTCCATTAAAGTGTAAGGGCTAGGGGAAGATGGAAAATTTGAGGTGAATGGAAATGTCCTTGCAGAAAAAAAGGAAGGCATCCTGAGTTAAAGGGTCAAACTTTAACATCTTTTTCCTTTAAAGCAGTGGTTCTCAACCTGAAGGCACCCCTCATTGAACTCAAGGTATCCCTTGTTAGACTTAAGGCACCCCTCTCCAGCTCTTAGTTTTCACTCCTTTTTTTTTTTTTTTAGATTACAGAAAAATAGTAGAGCAATTCTTCTGTTGCAAAGAACTCAGACTACAGTTCCAATTTTAAATCTGTGTGTTTATTTTGCGAATCATGTTTGCCAGGGCACCTAGTTGAGAATCACTTCCTTAAAGACTGACTGGCTGTCCCATATGTGGCTGTTGTGTTTCCACTTCACTTCCAAAGCAACATGAAGATTCAGCTGCATGCCTGCATCACTCCCTTGGTAGCTTAGAAACTGAGATCTTGCCTTTATTTTTGGAGCTTGAATGTAGGATAAATAGGTTAAAAAAAGAAAGGAAAAAAAAAAGATTGCCCCAGCAGCGAAGTTGTAACTCAAATTTTCTAATGAAATAGCAATAGTTTCTACTGGCAGGAATTGCCCACATTGTAACAGTGGCAGGGGATTGTGGCTTGGATTAAAACACCCATCTGTTAAGAAGATAATGCATAGTGAGGATAGTCTTTGTTTAAGGTACTATAGAGGTGAGTTAAGAATTTCTACCTCGTTAGACATAACTGTGCTCTAATCTCATTCAGTGCCTGAAGGTCTTTTGTCAGAAGGAGGCTTCACTCTTGTACAGTCACACAGCCACGTGCAGAAATGAGCTGCCCTGCAAAGAACTCTGGCCGGAGGCAGGTTATTTTCAGGAAGACTTCACGTGACAAGTCGGTAAGTAACTCAAGAATTGGTTTGCGTTGCCACTGCAAGAAACAACTTGTTCTATATTCAGGCCCAGGTCTGAGCCCTAGGAAGCTGTATACATGTATTCTCAGAAAATGGACAATTTTTGATCAACAAAATAATGAAAAGTTACTTTAGATGCCAACTCACCTGTCCTTCCTTTGGACAATGCCTTTGCTGGCTACCCGGATGTCTAAATCAACATTCATTCTCTCTTTTCAGTCAGATGATGCAGAAGTTCATAACTGTACAGCTCTGAGCCTCTAAGGCAAGGAGCTGTGTTGTACTTCTGGGACTCAATCCTGCAATGTGCTGAGCCCACTACCCTGATCAGTTAAATATTTTAACAACAAAATAGTCCCATTGATGTCTCTGGGAACTACTCATGCTTAAATATTTTTGCCAGCTCAGGCAAGAATACTTAGCGTGTTGTGGGATTGGCTGTTATACAGTTGGGATGTCTTTCTCCTTCCTATAGCTGACTGTCTATCTGGGGAAACGAGACTTCATTGACAAAGTAGAGTGTGTGGAACCTGTCAGTAAGTATAGATGCATCCTTGCTACAGATTCTTTTTCAACTCTTATTAAGATCTAACATCTTTCTTCCACACTGCCTAATTTTTACTCTTTTCTCTTTGTGTTTCTAGTTGGTGTTGTTTATGTGGATCCCGAGCTTGTCAAGAAGAAGACAGGTGTGATATTTTATGTAATTTCAGAAATTTCCATTTCTTTTCAAAGTGATCTCCCACAGCAAAGCAATAATTTATCTTGCTTCCTAGGGTCTACATGGTCTATGCACATTTTGTCCTATTATAGTGAGGAAAAGCTCTAGTTACTGGGCATGCTGCTTTTACGTGTCCAGAGCTTCAGTCCAATTTATCCAATTAACTTATGGTGCTATTTATAATATGAATTGGAATTGGGCCAGAGGGCATGCGTAATCTGCTGTGTGTATTCTTTACAGTGTATGTGACTCTGACCTGTGCGTTCCGGTATGGCCAAGAAGACATTGATGTGATTGGCCTGGCTTTCCGAAGGGATCTGTATTACTATAGACTGCAGTTGTACCCACCAGCATACAAGCCAGACTCTCTCACCTCACTACAGGAACGTTTATTGAAGAAGCTGGGACGCAATGCTTACCCCTTTGTTTTTACAGTAAGTGTCTTACTAAGCCTCTAGCCTGCTTCTTGTCCACTGCTATCTGGGCTGTGAGTGTTCCAAGACTACCTGGAAGAAGGGATTAATAATAAGGAATCAAATAATCTAACTTTGAAACAAAGGTTAGGCCTTATTTATTTAATTATCCCAAATGAGCTCAACATTTAGTAGGACGGTGTTCCTGACTGCCCACAGGAAATTGCTCATAAAATGCAGACAAATGTGGTTACTTTTATGACTGTTAAACAGGGGTTAATTCATATATTCATAGATTGTTAGGGGCTGGAATGGACCTTGCAGATCATCAGGTCAAGCCACCCCACTCTAGGCAGGAAGACAACTGGTCAAGTGACCCCAGTGAAGCGACTGTCCACTCTCCTCTTGAACACCTCCAGGGTAGGTGACTGCACCACCTCTGGAGGGAGTTTATTCCACAGTCTAGACACCCTGACTGTGAAGGAGTTTTCTGTGGTATTAAGCCTGAAGCAGCCTTCCAGGAGTTTGTATCCATTGGTCCTAGTCTTCACTACGGGTGCCCTAGTGAACAGTTGTTCACAGAGCTCTTGATGCACTCCTCTGATATAGTGTTTCCACTATATCAGAGGAGTGCATCAAGAGCTCTGGGGACGCTATCAAGTCCCCTCTCAACCTTTTCTTCTTTAGGCTAAAGAGGCCCAGGTCCCCAGCCTTTCCTTGTATGGCTTGCCTTGCAAGTCCCTGATCATACGGGTTGCTCTTTTCTGGACCCTCTCAAGATTTTCCATGTCCTTACTGAAGTGCAGCGCCCAGAACTGGATGCAGTACTCCAACTGCAGTCTCATCTTTGGTGAATACAGCAGAAATATAACTTCCTTAGTTTTACACGAGGTGCATCAGTTGATGCATGCCAGCGTGGTGTTTGCCTTGCTGGCCACTGCATTGCACTGACGGTTCATATTCATGCAATGGTCAATCATTACCCCTAGGTCCCTTTTGGCTGTTGCTATACATTACCAGAACAATGAACTAGGGTGGGTCTGAGTTATGAAGTGCCCTAAAAGGTCAAGATTTAGAAATTGCTTCGATACGTGGCTCCCTTGAGGGGGGCACAAGCACTGTGTTGACTGGAAGGTTGCTGGGGTCCACCATAACAGGAAATGTTCAGATAACCTGGCTGCTACTGCCTAACAATAGACATTTTATGGTATGTTTGCATCCTTCCTTCTGTGTTGTCTACCCTAGCACTAGTCTCCTGCCCAATATCCTCAGATCCTGGGAAAATATTCCTCTACAATACTGAAGAGTGCCAGTCTAAGAGCCAACATACAGGATGGTATTTAGTGATAAAAGCAGATTTGCACAGTTGTGTTCTGAAGGGACTTCATGATGTCTCTGTGCCAGACATGTATGTAGCCTGCTTGTTCCCAAGTTTTCTAGGGAACAACACAAGACAGCTGCGTCTCAGCATTGGCTCAAGGCTGTCCCAGACCCAGTGCTGAAAATCAGCTGATTGACAGTGTCCACTGGGACAGCCTTGGGTCTGGAGACATGCCATATGTTCAATTTAAGGTGCTAAACAAATCAGACACAAAGATGTCATACCATATGTTCCATTATATGAGGAACATCTTTTGTGGATGGTTTGTCATTTTATAGTGCCATAAATTGGCTGACTGTGTAGCATTTGATGCTATTAACACATTCATCATGCCATAAATGTAACACCTGCCAGGGCATTTAATTTGTGACTCTCTCTCTCTCACTCCCCCAACAGGAGAAGCAGGGGGGGCAAAAAAATAAAATTAAAAAAATATATATATATATGGTGCTATGCTAGGAGACAGTTCTTGGTTCTAATCCTGGTTTTGTTGCTAACTTGCCGTGGAACTTCAGCCAAGTCATTTCACCTCTCTGACCCTTTGGTTTTCCTCCTACCCTTTCTGTCTTGTCTTAATTGTAAGCCCCTTTTGGGTAAATAAAGACACTCATTCACCTTGTATGTGTGTGTGCAGCAACAGAGCACCAGTCTAACTTCAGTCCTCTAAGCTCTATTGTAACACAATTAATCAATAACAGAATCATTGGGGTCCCTCCAAGTTGAGTGTTGGTTCTTTTGATAGGTTGCTTTGGGGAAGAAGAGGGCGTATTACAACTATTAGCATTTTTTTATAGATAACTAAAGGGCCTCATCTTCCAGGGCTGTGAGTTTTGCACCTTTCATGAGTATTATGTTATTTTATGAAGAAAAGAAGTTGGAGGGCTAAACAACTTTCTTTTTTTTGCCGCCTCATTCCTTCAGTTTCCAGATAATCTGCCCTGCTCAGTCTGCTTGCAGCCATCCCCTCGTGATGCCAATAAGGTGAGACCAACAGGATTTTATAACCTCAATGTTTTCATTGGGAAGAAGATAATTAAAAAAAAACACTTGTCTGGCTTGAAGAGTACAGAAGCAAGAGCTAGGTATACAGGGGTAAATATACCTCTCATCACTGGAAAGGCTGCATGTTGTGAATGCTGCTTGTGTTTGACAGGAAACAAGCTAGAGAAAGTTGTGGAGTCAGAGTTTGGGCACTTGGAGTAGGACGCTGAATCCAACTGTTAATAGCAGGCAACTAACCAGCATATATCTGTTATAAAAGATAAAGCACGAGATCAAACCTGAGGTATTCCTTCAGTACACTGTTGAAGTTAGAGTCAGCCCCAAATGGAATGAGCATGGCAATGCTTAATGGGTTCTTGCAAGATATCCAGTTGGATCAGATGTAGAAGAAATCACATGCTTAAAGTTTGTTGATTTTGTTAGACCATGCCAATATATCCCACTAATCTATAGCTTATGTGAGAGAGAGATGTTGGCTTCAGAAGTGTTGGAAAGTTGCAAGGTAATGATATGTTCTTCAGATTTGATGCAGTTAAAGAAAAAATTCCATTCACTTTATTGGACACTTGTCCAAATGATAAGAGTGAGCGTATGAGATGAACAATGCAGATGCTGGGAAGACAGTGGGTGCCACAGGAGTATGTGGAGTATCTGCTTTGCTAAAACAAAATATTTTAGCAAAAGGTTCCACAAATTATTAAGGAATGCCACTTGCCTACATAGACCTTTGCAGAATTTTCTAAGTTACATGCAGTCCTGCTGGAACAAGAGTGAGTATTTTGCTGATCATAAAGAGTTGTCTTCAGACACTGAAAAGCCTTTGTTTATGAAAGACTGCTGCCTCTAGGTGCTGGCATAACCAAGAAATTTTAGAAATATAGAGTACACATTTAAGTTTAAGTCTACAACACCTATCCTCTCAGTGGGGATGCCAGCTGTTAAGTTCAGGGTGAAGTTTCCATACCATAGGGACACATGCAGAGTCCTCATTATAGGAAGATTCTTAAATATGTGCTAAAGTGCTCCCAGCTTTAGAACTCCAATCTTACAGACTCTCTCTCTTGCTCTCTCTCTCTCTCCTGGCCTGGAAGTCCTGTGGAGTGGACTTTGAGGTTAAAGCTTTCCATGCAGAGAATTTGGAAGACAGAATTCGTAAAAGGTAACAGAACAAGTGTTCTTAGCATTGGAGGGTTGGGGGACGAGTGCAGGCTGTTCAGCTTGTTCAGTTATACTTCATAAATTGCTGGTCAGATCCTCCTGTTAGGAATGTTCCTGGAAGTGTGAGCACAAATAAGCTACCATCTCAGTGCAGTATCAGGTCCTGTTCTATTAACTGCCATTGTGTTTGCTCTTTTCCAGGCACTCTGTGCGCCTGTTGATTCGTAAGATGCAGTTTGCTGTGGAAGAAACAGGACCCCAACCTCGAGTTGAGACCACTTGGCAGTTTTTCATGTCAAGTAAACCATTGCACTTGACAGCATCCCTCAGCAAAGAGGTGAGAAATCTGGACCAGGGAGCATGGCATGCTCATCATTGAGATTCATATACTTATTTCACTGTCCCATGGCCTTTTCTTGAGATCTGTGCTTGGGGTCAACCTACATTTGCCCTTATAATCAAGAGCTCTGTTTCTGGGAGAAGCTTGGAAATGGAGTGCATGAGCTCCTTCACTCATCTCGTCAGGACTCAGCAGAGCTATTAAAGTAATTGGAAAGGCTTTCCTTGTCTTCCATGTGTGTTGAATCAGGCCCTTGGAAATGGCTGTAGTTAAGTGGGTGTGGGAGCATTGAGCACTCCAATCTACATGCAACAGAAAGCCTTGCAGCAGGGACTAGAACTGTATTATTTGTGAGACCGCCCTCCTGCTTGATCAAGTTCAGCATTGCCAATCTGACTCTTCCAGCTCTACTACCATGGTGAGCCCATTCCTGTCACAGTCACTGTGACCAATAACACCGAGAAGACGGTGAAGAAGATCAAAGTGATGGGTAAGTTTTTTACTGTTGTCCATAGTCCTGCAAGGGCTGCAGAGTGCTCTTGTGATTGAACAGCACTTGGAGCAATGCAGGACCTAGTAATCTTACTCATTTTTAAACAGATGAAACTGGCCTGTCCCACCCCATATCCCTACCAGTGTTGTTGTGTTGCTGCTCTACTGCCTTTCATAAAATAGTATGCTCCAGAGAGGTCATCTGCTCACTGTCTTGTCCCCGGTTAGGCGGTATGGCTCTGAGGCCTCTAGATGTAGCCCTTTGCCTGTACTCACAATTGAGTCTGGCTTTTTACCTCATTAGCAGAGAGATAATTAGCCATGATAGTCTCAAGTTTGGCAGAAGGCAAGATAGAGATGCACCTTATAGATTAACTAAATAAGATGCGCGCACACACATACATATATAAAAACTTATATATAATGCAACTAATATATAGTACAAGCTTTTGTGAGCTCAAGTTCACTTCATGAGATGCTGTTAAAGGACAGCATAGAGCAGTGTCTGAAGCAGTGATATGAATACGAAAGATGGAGCGGAAAAATGAGGGAGAGAGAAGGTGGAGGTGGGGGGAGAGACGGAAAAGCAAAAAACCCACAGGAACAATGGGGTTACAAAAGCTAATCCAGGTAATGGGATAAGAATCTGCAATCCCTCCTTGAACCATACTTAACACAATCCAGTTTATAGATGATTTCTTGTTTTGCAATTTCCTGTTCAAAACAGCTTTTAAAATTTTGCTGCCTGAGAACAGAAATCCTGATGTCGGCAATGCATTTTAACCTTGTTAACAGAAATGTATGGCATTGTAGGAGACTGGCCCCTTTGATGGCATTGCAGAGCACATCCCCATTCTTTCTCACAAGGTTTCCTCAAATCAGATGTTTAAGGTTTAACTCCAGTACTACCTCCTATTGTTTTAACTTGTATTACAGCAGTACCTAAGCGACCTCTCTTGACATGAAAATTTCATTGTAATTGGTCTTCTATTGATCACAGAGAGACAAAGGTTAGGAGAAAGAACAAAGACACTGATGAAGCGACTTGCCCAGGAGTTGCACAAAAACAGAATGCAGATCTCTTAAGTCCCAATCCAGTGCTGTTGCTTGAAAACAAAGATGACAGGTGTCACCAAGTGAGAGATTCAGAACTTTATCGGGAGACATCACCAGAGATCCTAGTTTTCCATTTGCCATGGAAAACCACAGAAGAACATGGAATCCTCGTTTCTCCATGACCTACCAAAAGTGCAACAGTGTCCTGCGGAAAGCAGCACCATTTCTGCTCTCTTTTATTTGTGCTGTGGTCTTTGCCTCTTGATCAGTCAGTGCGGGGGAGGGAGGGAGAGGGGTTGTGCTGTTGATTGGCCAAGAGGAAAAACCACGGCACAAAAAGAAGAGAGCAGAAATGGCATTGCAGTGGCATCCCATGGTGAGCACTTTTGATGGGTTGTGGAAAAACACGGCTTTTTGTGTTGTTGTTTTTTTTTTAAACAGATTTTCTGCATTTTTCCCCATAGAAAACTAAGATTCCTGGTCATCACTGACTGGGGGATGTTTTCCGGTGAAGTTCTGCAGGTCCTGGCTCTCGGCCTTGTGCCATTCAGTGTTGCTGTTAGCAATGATTTGAAATTAAACAGAAAATCACTACTGCTGGTGGAGGGGGTAGAAAATGCCCTCCTCTCATTGACCTTAAAATCAAACATAGTGATCTGAATTGCTTGGTAGCTGGCCCGTTTAGACAAATGCATTGTAACATAGAAATGCAGGTTCATTAGTCTAGGAACAAAAAAGTCTACACATGCAGAACAAGGCCATTTATCCTAGTGCAACTCTGAAAAGTATTTTGGGGCCATAATGGACAACAAATTTGACAAATCAACAAAAAAGTGTAAGATTGGAGCAAATGTGATCCTTGAAAGTGTAGATAAGGGGAGGAGTAAGTAGTAATTGGGAGGTGATTTACCTCGGTATATGGTATTCATTTGCCAAGAAATGTCAAAAGTTTGGGAAGGGAACAGAAAAGAGCCACACAGATGATGTGAGGACTAGGGAAAATGCCTTTTAGCGAGAGACTAAAGCACTCCATCCTGTGGAGTTTATCCAAAATATCCAAGAGATGTCTCAATGGTGTCAGTACCTTCATCGGGGGAAAAAATGCCAGGTATTAGTGTGGTCTTTGCATCTAGCAGGGAAAGGCAGAAGGAACTAATAGCTACAAATTGAGGGGAAGGTGTAAATTTGTCACAGCAAAGGAAATTAACCATTGAAATGAATGACCAAGGGCAGTAGGGAGTTCTTGGCATCTTGATGTCTTCACATCAGGATTGAATGCCATTTCAGGAAGAGAAGTGCTTTAGTTGAACGTTTTTGGCCCAGTGCAGCAGTTCAGACTACGTAACCACATGGTCCCTTTGGGCTGTAAAATCTGTTAATGGCATAGGCTCTGGCTGGTGCCCCTCTTTGTTCATCCAGCTCATCAGAATTGTAGAGGCTGGGTGTACAATGCTGCCTGTGCATAACTTCAATGTGCCTCAAAAATGTGTTGTCATTTCTGTTTCAGTGGAACAAGTTGCCAATGTGGTTTTATATTCAAGTGACTATTACTCAAAGGTGGTAGCAACAGAGGAAGCACCGTGAGTGTCTCAGCACTGTTTTCCCTTCCTTGCCTTGCTCAGTCTTTTACTTTCCATCCCTTTAATAACTTCCACTCCAGAAAAGAGGGACTCTCTCGTTGTTTGGAGGGAGCTTCCTAATGTCACCTTGCCTTTCTGTAAGTAGGGGGACAATAAGGTGAGCTTCTGTGTTTTGATGATCCACTCTTTCTCTGTGCCATGCCCATGACAAACAGCTCACTTAATGCACTGAGAGAGATCTTTTGCCAGCTCTACTTCCATTCTTAATGACAGATTTATAGGGTCTTAGTTTTTTTTAGACCATCAGGGATATCCCCATTTTCTACTCTGTGATCTTTACAATGATCTCAGAGGTTGACAAGTGTCATGCACCAATCTATCCCTTTTAGGATGTAGGAATTTCAAAATGTTGTAATTTTTCCCAAACCCAATTTGGAATAGTTATGTATTAATACAGTTTTCTATGTGTATTTAAGATCTCAATATTTGTGTAGTTGTTATTAGCACATGATACTTCAAAAGACCAACACTTAAGTAATAAATGTACTAGTTTTTGAGTACAAAAAAGTCCCTTCTGGTTGTGGTAGGGTTAATGACCAATTAGGACATGCTTCTGCCCTCGGTTGTAAATTGCAATTCCCACTGACAACTACTCCTGTGATTGTTACTCACCTGCTAATCTATACATATATTTGGATTCTGTATCTCTTACCGTATTAATGTTCATATAGGACTAGCCCCACCATCCTGATGCCTTCCACATAGTTTTAAAATCACAGAACCTAACAGTCCACAGTAAGTCCACTAGTGTGTCCTCATTAAGTAGCCCTGAGAAGTTAACTAACTGGACTTTTGCACACATCCCACTTACCTTATCATGTACTGACCTCTCAGTCCACTGCTTACCCATCAGTTACCAGAAGAGGTGAAAATGAGTTTTACAAACCAGTTAGTGTGGACGTATATCATGTGGATTGAAATGCTAACACATGAGGCATGTAATGTCCATGTTCAAAAGATTCAAAGGGGCTGGGAGGGTGAAATAATTGAAAGAATATAAATTGTTGACTGCAGCTTGATTTGGTCTGAGATTGTGCCATGACTTATTCTGTTGTTATGCCCTTCACTCTGGTAACATGTGTGATTTGATCATAATTTAAAAGAACCTACATGCAAAGATTTCTGATGGGAAAGGAGTCCATGGTCTAGCAAAAAAGATCCAAAAGAAAGAATAAGTTGAAGACTAACTCAAACTAGAAATTAGTTGCCAACCTCAGAGAAGCTTACCATTGGAACTGTTACTAAGGAACATGGGAGACCTCCATCGCTCAGAGCTTTCTTAACTCATAATTGGATATCTCTAAAAGAGATGCGTATTTTCTTTTTCAGCTGGAAGCTATGGAGGAATCATTGGTGAGATCCAATGACCTGTCTTATGCAGACTAGATCATAGTGTCTATTTTTTTTTTTTTTTAAAGAAAGTTCTGAGCAATTGATGCCTGGTTCTTGAATCTGTTCTGAAATGTTCTTCACCAGTTTTGTTCATAAACTTTAATGTGTGTCTCACTTTCCCTCACTACATGCACCCAGGGACAAGGTGCCACCGAATGGTAGCCTCACCACAACATTGAAACTTGTGCCCTTGCTGGCAAATAATCGTGAGGTACGGGAGATAGCGCTGGATGGAAAGCTGAAGGATGAAGATACTAACTTGGCTTCTAGTACCCTGTGAGTCCTCTTTTGAAGGATGCCTACTAATAGAGACTTCCAAAGCGGAAGGGAGAGTAGAGAGGAAGTATCTTTTTATCACATTAAGATGTGCACACATACACCCTCTCACTCCTATCTCAGTAAGACATTGGTTAAATGAGTGATTTGTTGTATTTAGGGTTGACAACCTATGGCCTGCAGCCCAGATACAGCTCACTGAATCATTGGCTATGACCCATGGATGTGTGGGGTTTCAGTGCCATTTGGCAGCAGGAGGCCCTCCCTGTGCTGCCATGGGTGCACACCAGTGGTGGGTGGGTTCTGGTACCCACTGCTCTGGCTTGTTTGACCTGGAGTGGCTCATTCTGGGCTGCAGTTGAGAGGCTGTCTACCTGCTTTCTTCTATATTGTGTTTACCATGTTCACTTGCATACCACATGTACCTTTCCCCCCAAAATCAGCCTTTCAAGATTGGCATTTGTGTCTTAAGTGTGGAAGCAGGGGTTTTTTCTGGAATAGAAGCATGGACATGCAGTTCTCAAATGGCTACTAAAATGGCTGTCACATTTCTTCTTGACTTGGCAAGCAGAAGGGGCAGAGTCTAGTGTTAACTCTCTCACAGCCACTAAGGAATTTGAAGTGACTATCAGCTGAGCACTGGAGCTTGTGCCTGAAGCAGCTATAGATCTGATTCAGGGCAAGTGAGCCTTGATGAGGCTTGTGGCACAGAAACAGCACTTTATGTAGAGAAACTTATATAAAGAGCTATTTATAGCAAAGAAGCAATAGTCTTGCAAGGGTTTGAGGTCTAGCTTTGTTGCTGTCTTGCTACACTAGGAAGATCCTGCTGCCTCATCCAGGCTGTCTTCTGGGATGTTGCATTTCCTAGTCACTCTGTTTCCAGGAGAACATGTCACAGTCACCCATGACTCTGGAATTTTGTTTTTCTATATTCTGCCCCCCCCTCCCAAAAAAACCAAAACCCAAACAAAAAACCAAAAAACCCAAGGTGCATGGTTACTTGGGGGCTTATGGTATACAAGAAAACATAGGATTCAGCCCAGAATCCATTTCCATTTACTAGCTCCCTAAGGGATGTATAAAAATTCCCAAGTTATAAAAGGGCAGTCCCAATGTATTACACCCAGAAAAATTAGGATGGAATGCACTTGTGTCTTACTAGCTGCATGCTGGTAAGCTCTGCAGCTATACTGCATCGTCCTACTCTGTCTTTCGTTCTTGTAGAATTAAAGAAGGGATGGACAAGACTGTGTTTGGGATTCTGGTTGCCTACAGGGTCAAGGTGAAGCTCATCGTCTCGGGGTAAGTGCAGTAGATTTCTTGGTGTCTGCCTATGGTAAAAAGGGACTGAAAAATGCATATATTGTAGGGGAATGCACAGGGCAATCTATTGCTAGAAGAACGGAATATAAAGTTTAGGACAGTCTGGCTTCCTCTGCTGGAAACTACCTAATTTGGCCAATCCTAAAAAGCTTTCCTGAACATGAAGAGTGAACTGTCAGGTGCCAAGATGCCCTTGTAGCTGAATTCTGAGTCTCTTGACTTTTTTGTTTGTTTTTTTATTGTGTTGTTGTTTGGAGAGTGTAACTTTTCTTCTATAAGAGGTCAAAAAAGCTTAAATCAAAATGCACTTCTTGGCCCTTAAATAGAGTACTACAGGCTTTACGAGTTTACTGGGAGATGCTAATGTTATCTCACTACTTGGCTCAATCTGGGAAAGCTTTTGCAACTTAGTTGATGAGAAGTGGTATTCAGTTTGAATGCAAATCCACACCATACCCAGAGCCTGACGAAGGGACTTTGATCCCGAAAGCTTGCAGAAAAGGACAATTGTCTTGCCATTTTCCAGTTGGTCTAATAAAAGGTATCATTTTTGAACCAAGAGCTCTAGTTTTTTGTATGTCTTTTTGCCTCAGACCAACACGGCTACCAAGTACACCCCTGAATCCACACCATGTGCTCTCTGCCTTTCTGACTAGCATGTAAAGTAGTCAGTGGCTTGGCTTATTCTTGTGATAAAATAGCTGTTTCTTTTTACAGTCATCTGGCTCCCATTTCATGGTGTTTGAAGTTCAGAAACACTTACCCTCCTTCCACAGAATGGATTTGGAAAACTAACACTTTATAAACTTTACCTGACTGCCTGAGAGAGAAATAGCTCATTTTGCTCACTTAATTCTTTGTGCTTAGTTGTGTGTAGGAGGAGGTAGACAAGGTTATGGATATGAGGAAAGGACCAGTAGAAAGTGAAGTCAGTGGAGATGCTCTTGGAATTTTAGCATCCAACACACTAAAAAATAATGATGTTCTGATGAACAGTCTCTTATTTCACAGTCACGGTCCTACCCTTTTTCTGCAGTTACTACCATACTCCTTTATATTAAAAGGAGTATTGAAATCATGTTAAGAAAATGAGGCAGATGAACGCCCATTGAATTGGTGAGGCTTCCTAGTTATATTCTCGCCTGTGTGTTCCATTCCATTTCTCCTGGCTGGTACGACTATACAGTATTTAGGATTGAATAGCACTTCTTATCTGCAGCCCATATCTTTCCACCTCATTTTGTTTTTTTCTTTTGATTTACTGTGCCCCAACTTCCAGTATCACCTGCAGAACTGATTGTGGCTGAATTTACATTAAAGATGTCTACCAAAGTTTGGTTTTTAAGAACCATGCAGGATACAGAGATGGGCTCTGGGCTTCTTAAATATTACTGGTTTATTTAAAACCTCTGGAAGGCCTTGGAGCTCAGGACTGTTCTCCAATGAACAGAAAATATCAGTTCTGAAACAGATGCATCATTGTGTCAAATGACTACAGCAGTCACCTGGCAGTGGTCAAAGCCACCAGATTATTAATAGTTTGAGAGCTCTGGTGCTGGATACTGAGGGAGGGACTGGGACAAGGGCAGGTAGGTGGGAGGCCATGTGTTGTTTGGAGGGAAAAATGAAGCACGGCAGAAGTTTAAAAGCTCTGTCTTTGTTTCCTTACTTAGCATTCTGGGAGATATCATGTCCAGGTAAAGGTTCTTTATTTTCTTCTTTTTCCAAACTCTACAATTATAGATATATCACTTTGCTTCCTCACCCTTCCTCAACTATCATTCCTCTCCTGCCTCCCCAACCCCTTAAAACTGCTTGAGCAAAGGAATCTAAACATGCCAATGGGATAAACTAAAGCTTAGGCATCGATGCAAATTGGGCTGTGAAGTGTGTTGCCTATAGCAAAGAGCAAGAAAAGAATAGTATTTGGCACATCTTATGCTAAAACCAGTCATTGGTAGAGGAGGTTGACTACAGCTGGGTTTTGGATGGATAAATCTGAGCATGGGTCTTTGTTGGGGACTGATTATAGCTGAGGTTAGGGATGGGTGGTGCTGGATTCTAGATCAGTGAGACTCAGGGTTGGATCAGATCTGTAAGGTGCAAACCTGATTGAAAGGACAGTTATACTGGGCATGTGGGTCTGATGCTTTCTCTTCTCTCTCCGCAGTGAAGTGTGCACAGAGCTGCCATTCCGTCTCATGAACCCCAAACCTGAGGAGAATGCAGGTCAGTAGTGCCACATTTCAGCTTTTATTGCTTATGTAACCAGCCACGAACTCTTGCATATGATGATGGTTGCTGGAGCGATCATGATTCCTACTATAACAGAAAACTAGCATGAGAGCAAGAAATATGCCAGAAGTAAGTGTGGTCTGTTCATCAGCTTCATCCAGGAAGGAAGGTGCTGAGGTAACATATAACACTATCACGTTTAGGTCCTTTATTGCACCTAAGCTTACCTCTTTGCTGAAACACACGGTGGGCTTGTCTCTTTCAGGGAACATTACATAGAAATTAGCGTAAGAACTTAACTATAAAGTCTATTGTAAGTAAAAACCCTGAATGTAGATGTTAAGACTTTGGAGTCAGACTCCAAGTACCATAACATTTCCTAATAAACTTTAAATACACATAAACATTGCAAATGCTGGAGTCCTTGTGAAAGCCTTTTGTTAAACGGGTAGTAAATCTGTTGCTCTTTCTACATACTTTCCCATTTTGTTGCTGTTACTACTATTTTAATGCAAGACTTTAATAGGACCTTCACCTTTCTCAAGCACATGATTATAACCACAACTCATCTCATCTTCAGAGATTTCTCCATATATAGTACAGGTCAATTGGACTCTTCTGAGCTTGAGGAGAATGGTAGCATCACTCTTTGTTTTCAAGTGCTTCAGGGCCTTCATAGTAAACAAGACTCTGATCCTTATAGCTAGCAGGATTCTAGCCCTTAGGTTAATAACTGACCGGTCTCTTCAGTTGCTAGTGAAACGATCATCTGTAACCTGTACTAAAATTGTCCAGGTTTTAGGAACCCGCTTTCACAGCAAACTTATTTCTTAGTCCTGTATGGGTCACCTGTTGAGTACACAGGACTATATTTGTTGTATGGGAGTTGCAGGACTGCTTGGCCAAAAGAAAAATAACTTATCCAGCTTAGGAAACCACCAGTAACTGCCACCCCCTTACCTATGCATATTTCCAGGCCCTTCTGAGTCACCTTGTCCTCTGCATGTATACAGAAATCAGTGTTACCTCCCTACTGCTGTACTTCTTCTTTCTTTGAGCCAGAATGCTAAGCATAGCATATAAGGCACATGGGTTACATGCAATCTTGCTCTCAAACAACATGGTTGTTGCTCCTCAGCACAGAGTAACAACTGCAGTGGAAGTGTCAAAATGAACCAAACAGACTTCACATGTAGGAAAAGTGTTGGAGGAGGAGTCAAAGGATAAAGGTTTTTATTGGGCTAAGTATGTTCTAAATAGAAGCCCATACTTGAAAGGGACAGGCTTGAATCCTGGTTTCTTTTTGTCAATTATCCTTACATTGGAGGAGGAAAACCACACACATTGTGACAAACAGAAATCAATGACAAAGACCAGAGCTCCCCTTCACATTAATGTTTCCTTATTAGATAAAACTGGATGTTTTCTTTAACCTGTTTGAGGCCAGAGAGTGACTTGGGGCTTGCCTACCCTACAATAATGTATGGTGCTACACTGGGCTTGCAGAGCTGTACTGGGTGAGCCTCTAGTAGGAATACAGGGTACACCAGGAGAAGGGGGTTTTCTGCTCCCCAACACAATCTAAACCATTAAGTGCTTCTGCCAATGTAGCTGTGTTCACAGGAGGAGTTTTGCCTCATCATCACTATATCAGTGATTTTGTTTTCATAGTTTCATAGTAGCTAGGGTCAGGAGGGACCTGATCAGATCATCTAGCCTGACCCCCTGCCACAGGCAGGAATGAATGCTGGGTTCACAAGACCCCAGACAGGTGATCATCTAACCTCTTTTTGAATTTGCCCAAGGTAGGGGCGAGGACCACTTCCCTAGGAAGTTGGTTCCAGATTCTGGCCACCCTAACTGTAAAATATTGCCTTCTGATCTCTAACCTAAACCTATTCTCTATCAGCTTATTACCATTGTTCCTCGTCACCCCAGGTGGTGCTGAGGAGAACAGGGCTCTTCCTATTTGCTGATGATCTCCCCTGATGAGTTTGTAGACAGCCACCAGGTCCCCCCTCAGCCGCCTCTTGCTGAAGCTGAATAGGTTCAGGTCCCTCAGTCTCTCCTCGTAGGGCCTGTCCTGCTGCCCTCTCACCAAGTGGGTGGTCCTCTTCTGAACCCTCTCCAGGCTGGCCGTATCCTTTTTAAAGTGCGGCACCCAGTACTGGACGCAGTACTCCAATTGCAGCCTGACCAGTGTCGCATAGAGGGGGAGTATCACCTCTCTGGACCAGCTTGAGATGCACCTTTGGATGCATGACAAGGTATGGTTGGCCTTGCTTGCTGCGGTCTGGCATTAGTGGCTCATGTTCACCTTGGAGTCAATAATGACTCCAAGATCCCTTTCCACCTCTGTGCTTTCAAGAGGGGAG